TTAAAAATCAACTTCACACGATAATTTCAATAGCAACCACGTGCGTACAATTGACAAACTCACATAGGTTATGTTTACTACTTAAGAACAGCTGATGAGAGGGGTGTTATGTAAACAAACATGTGTACCAACTGTTGGTGATGAAATATTTCATTTGTTGAAAACTCAATATACATATATATAATATAATGATACTATATCTTGAAAACAAGAGCTAATATATAATTTTTATGGTCACTTTCGGTTTTAACACGTGGAAATACATTAAAATCATCTAATTTCAACCCCGAAACAAAAACTTTGTTGTGTTGTGTAATTTGCATCGAAGATTGTTTCCAAAAAATTTTTCGATTTGTCCTATGAATAGCACATTTGTTTATAACAATTTTTTCAACAACAGCAGATATAAATTTACAAAAATTATTTTCATCAAGCTTTTGATCATAAAAAAATGGATACTGAAAAAAAAATTCGATGTGTAACGAAGCTTTTTAATTTTTAACCTAAGTATATTGTTGATGACAAATTGAAAAATACCATTTTTTTATTTTCTCGACAGGGATCTTTTGTGAGACTTTTCAGAAATACCTCCAAAAGAATCTCAGATTTGTTATTCAACAATTATCGTACTGTTTGAGTAGAAACAAAATTGTTGATAAACTAAGTACCATCATTACCTGCAAAATCACGATAGAAATTTTTTGACCACGGATTATTGTTCATTCATTTATTCAGTATTCTAAATTTTGATATTTAATAAGTTGAAATAATATTTCTTCATTAAAGGTAGAGAATGGGCGTGTCTTGCTCAAGCCAGAGTACACGTTTTAGAACACATTTTCAACCCTTTGAGAAAATTTAAAAAATTGGTCCCACCTTCCGGGAGGTTGATATTTTTTTGTAAGTTTCCACCTCTTTTTGAATATTTTTTCAAATTTGAAAAATATCAAATAGTTTTTGAGATATTTGCAAGAAAACCTAACCCCTTTTTTTCTGCTTTGCTGATGACCTAACAATTTATGAACAAGTACAAACAGTGAGAGATAGTGTAATGCTACAAAAAGATCAGGATAGGGTTTATGAGTGTTAGGAACCACACGTTAAAAGGCAAGACCTCGTTAATCCTTATCTCGCACAAGTTTCGACTTCTGAGGGTTGTCGTTCGTAGGGGTGCGACAGCTGGTTAACGGAAAAACAGATTTTAAACAAATTTTTTTTAATTTCTCAATATTGATAAATGTTTTATTGATGTCGGTTACGTGCAAAAAAGGCTCTTGAAATAAATATAGAAATAAACGACCTAGGGACTCCATATAATAATACATTATCATTCAAGACTGACACAAGAAATATTACAAGAAATGCAAATACAATGTTAGGGTTCATTATCTGGCAAACTAGAAATTTCAGCAAAAATATCACTTCATCTAGTGGACGAGGTACTAACCAACTGCATATCCGAAATTTGCCCGATTCCTCGGAATAAGGAAGAAAAACTTTCTTATTAGTCAGTGGGCTATGCTTGAACATTTAAAGTTCATTTCTTTAGATTTGTTTACTGCCAATCTTCAAGCATTGCCCACTGGCTAATAAAAAAGTGTTTCTTTCTTATTCAGAGGAATCGGGCTAATTTCGGATATGCAGTTATATACAGATATCGGTTAGTACCTCGTCCACTAGATGAAGTGACATTTTTGTTGTTCGCTCCAACTTTAGACGAGGAATGAAATACTCTGAAAGAATTTCGATTTTCAATTCGTACCCGTTCAAAGAGGCAACGGTTATCCACATCCCGAAACCCAAGAAGAACCACCTGTTCCCAGACAATCACAGGCCAATTAGCTTACTTCCTTCCATAAGCAAAGTAGCGGAGCGTGTCATCTTGAAGAGAATCGAAGACCAAACCAGAGAACTAGGAATCCTCCCGGATGAGCTATTCGGTTTTATATCGGAACACTCGACAGAGCTACAAGTCCTGAGGGTAGTAGACTTCGCGACCGAAGGCTTCAACCTCGGCAAAAAAGGACACAAAACCGGAGCCATCTTCTTAGACGTCTCCAAGGCGTTCGACAGAATTTGGCACGACGGACTACTGGTCAAAATGAGCGATTTCGGATATTCAAAACCAATGGTAAGATTAATTCAGTCTTTTCTAGCTGACAGGCGATGCCGTTGCAGAGTAGGAGACGAATTATCAACAATTTGACTACTGGAAGCAGGAGTCCCGCAAGGAGCAGTCCTTTCGCCACACCTCTTCTCCGTATACACAACGGACGTGCCCAAGCCAGAGAACAACTGGCACTCTACGCAGACGACACGGCCCTGCTTGCGAGATCCACGAGCCAAGTACATGTCACAAGGTACTTGCAACAACAGGCGAACAGATTAGAGAAGTGGGCCAACCTGTGGAAGATCAGTATAAACCCTGACAAGAGTCAGGCGACACTGTTCATTCGCAGGTTTGTACAACCGGAAGGCAACGTCACCTTTAACGGACAAGAAATTCCGTGGACCAATAAAGCGACATACCTGGGGGTCACCTTAGACAGGAGATTAACATTTCAGTCTCATGTACGGCAGAGAATCGGAATGGCCAGACACGCCAAACATCGACTGGCACTAATCATAGGACACAGAAGCAACATTAGGTTGAAAGTGAAGTTGCTGATGATCAAAACCGTTCTCTTCTCATGCTCATAATACTGTACGCCTGCACTGCCTGGGGCCAGTGCGCACAGACATACAGGAAGAAGATACAGTCGTTCATGAACGCGATCATAAGAGCCGCCGTGAACGCACCGTACTACATCCCCAACAGATTTATGTACAGAGACTTAGACCGGGACACGCAATATGTGGACGTGTATATGAGAGAACACGCAGAAAGCGTGTTCTATAAAATCAGCTCGCACTACAACCCAGCGCTACGCGATCTACACGATGCGTTGAATATGGATGATCCCAGATTTCCAGAAAGGGACAAACACCCAAGGCCGACAAAACAGAATCTACGACCGCCCCCACAAGTCGCCGTCAGGCGACTCCGGTAAGCATTATTAATCAGACTTTCTTTCAGCAAGTTCACCGCAGAACAACTCTACCGCGATTCAATTATCCTTAGATTCACTAAAGAACGCTCGACGCTAACAACAATAGCCACCGGTTAGTTTTTGGGGGCCCCCATGCAAAAATTCAGTTTACCGATCGCGACAGAATAGCACCTAAAGGCTGACTTTCGACCAAAAGAGGTCAGATGTCAATCTTGCTGAAGTGCCCATCAGTAAGTTGAGGACCGCTCGGAGAGCGGGGGTGGATGGAGTGGGGTAGCAGGTTCTCCTCGCTAACTAGCCGGGGGGTAGGGAAGCTTCTACTTCAGGGCACTCAACCCAGGAGGGAGCATGGGGAGGGATTTTCAATTATGGAATATCATAGACTCTAGGTCTAGGTCACTATCTTGCACTGACGACTGGCTAAGGAGCTCGAAACCGGTCTGCAAGTGTGCCCGTTCCAAAATTGAAGGTCGATTCTTTCAGTTGTATGGCCAATTGCATATGCAGGACATTTTGTGTGAAGATTTCTGCACTGACGCCTATCGGATATAATCCAACACCGTTCGTGGTTTTAGCCAGTGGAGTAGTTGTTTTCTGATAGGCGTCAGTCCATTCAACCTACTGTGTAGGTTTAATGGACTGGCTTGAACATTTAAAGTTCATTTCTTTATATTTATTATTGTTAGTTAATGTTCACGTTTCAACCAGAAAGACAATATTAAATACAATGTTTCATATACAGAAATTCTACTCCATAGGAAAGCAGGCATGTTACGTCTCGCAAATAAAGTCGATATAGATTGGACAGATTCTCGAACAAATTTGAGAAAAAATGTCATTCTACAGCTAGTGGCAATGTCTTTGCAGGATCATCACACTTAGTAATCGACCCCATCAGTAACTGAGTGTTTTTTAGTGTATTATATTGTAATTAATAAGGACATCCTTGTAATTAGGTCTACGTGGTCTGTTAAGGTGAATAAATAAATAAATATCGTATGTAAAATATATTCTTTGTGAATTGCCCAAAAGCATTATTGTTTTTTATAGAATGAATAAGGAAATGAATTGGAATATAAAACTCCAACTTTATGAAATAATAATCTGTTTGTATGAAACACTTAAAACCCTAAATAAAAAAATGAATCCTTACCTTCTTTAGTCGTCGCAAATGTCTCCCCAGGTTCTACCTGCGTGTGAAACAAACTCGGTTTAATGAAAATCTTCGAACTGTACGTAACTTTCTTTTTCGGAAAATTCGGATAGTACTGACCACTCGGGTCTGTCACAAACACTATCACCACCATTCAACATAGCACATTCTAGTCAAAAATATTTTCATTCAAACATGTTATTAGAGTTTTTCACCACCTCGCACCAGTGTTAGTATATATCCAGATTATGTCAACAGTGAAATTTGCAGGTTCACCGCTCTTGAGCATTGTCCGACAAATGACAATCGATTATTATTCAAGTACCAATAGGCACAGGAACAAGTCCCTATTTGGATTGAAATTACCATCTCGATTTGGTGTCTTTCTCAATCAATGGACTGAATAGAGGACAACGGATTGATATTTCTGCAATGGAAATTGAGGTTCGAGCATTTTTGTTATTTGAAATGCCTTCAGTGTGGATGTGCTTTTCCTAAATTAGTAATAATATTTTCTTGCAGAAAAGTTGTCTGATGTCCATGATTTGAGCTCCTTTATATAAGAAATCACTGCTAAAGTCACGTGTCTTGTCAAATATTACTTTTAGAATACATTTTTTAACCATATTTACGTTTTCTGTAAAACAATCACTTAAACCCCCTCCATCATAAAATTCCGTATGTAAGATGTGATTTTACTAGGGAGAAATAAATCATTTTTAATTGTCTAAAAATCTGTTTAAAATATGTGTTTCCGTCGCACCCAGACGAACTACAACCCTCAGAAGTCGAAACTTGTGCGAGCTAAGGATTAACGAAGTCTTATTTTTTAACGTATGATTCCTAGCACGGGTTGGACGATAGCAAGTAAAAATTGATCGTTCAGCCTGGAGCTTCAACCAGCGACCAACACGGCGGTCGATTGATCGCCGTATTGTCGTTCGTAGGGATGCGACAGCTGGTTAACCGAAAAGCAGATTTTTTTTAACGGAATTCAAGTGAGTGAACAAAACACCCCCGTCGAACCGACCGGCTACTGACCAACCATAAATTCCTTGAGATATCTAAATTTCGGAAAAAACCCTCTTAAAAACCCTCATATGTCGATCTATCGTGACACCAAGGTATTTCACCGACGTTGCTGAAGGAATTTGTTTGTTCAAGCCTACTTTAAGGGGACTTAAGTTCGGTAATTCGCTAATGTAAGATATAAATGATGCGTATCAAGTTTTTTGGTAATCAACAGTTAATTTATTGAATTGCAACGGGTTGTTTCATATTTTGCCAAGTTAAAGAAGTGTACAAAATGTCAGTATCATCGGCGAAATTGATAGTTTGACCAGTGGTATTTAAAGAAAACAGACTATTCATATAGATAGTGAAAAGAAGTGGCCCCAGCACAGTGCCTTGAGGAACACCATAGATCACAGTTCTGGGAACACTTAGGACACCATTAATTTCAACATTCTGTTCACTATATGATGAATAACTGGACAATGGGTTGTGTGTATTCCCACGGATGCCATAATCATACAGCTTTTGTAAAAGGGTTTTGTGACATGCAGTGTCAAAAGCCATGGAGAGGTATATATATGGGTATTGTTTTATCTATAGCATTATAAACAATTGTAATAAGTTCACAAATGGCATCCTCGGTTGATCTGCCTTCTCTAAAACTTGGTCAGTCAAACTTTTATCAATGGTTCCAAAATTTTAGAAATTTGGACAGTAAAGAAATTGGTCTATAGTTACCAATTTTTAATGTATCTCCATTTTTATATAAAGGTTTGTAACAGCAACTGAAAGGAAAAACAATCTCAAAAATGATGGAATAAGGCGCCGGGTATGAGACAGGCCAACATTAAAGAGCCATCGCAATATTATCTGTCTGCATTTTTCCCGTTAAACTGCAAAACTTGTGCATTTCACTCGTTATTATAAAAAAGTTTTCCTAAGTATGATATAGCATTTGCGATAAACAAGATGTTAGTTCTGAATACGGCCCTGGCCAATTCTTGGGATTTTCAATATCACGTGCATAGGGCATTTCAATGTTTACATCCTCTCTATCTTGGATTTGAATTTGCTTCAGATATGAAAAGTGATTGAAAGTTAATTGCTTCCTTTCTTTCTCCGTGAGTTTCCTATATTTTTTGTTTCAGTATGGTGAAGTAAAAGCATTTTGCCAAAAACTAATATTTCATAAAAACATTTCCTTTTCAATTCAAATAGGAAATAAGTACACTTTTTTCTACATGTTCAAATATCCTTCAACATTGTTGCTTGGTGTATACGCGAGAGTGCTGAATATAGATATGAAAAGCCAATTGTGCTTTGAATAATTACAGCTTCTCTTCGGTTTATTATTATATTCTCGATTATAAAAGGAACTGAAACGTTACTGGCCCGTACCACTTCTATGAAAACAATCACCCATTATTTATTCCGCAAGATACGAACAGACACGTGGGAAATTTGTGTGAGGCTATAAAATAATAATAATTATCATCTCGCGGTATAATTCTAATTTCTTTCTAAGTGCAGATCTCGATTTCGCAATACTTGACCTTTACTTTCATAAACGGCTCGGATATTAAATGATAAATATGCCAAATTATCATCCAAAGGTGAAACGGATATCTTTGAAAATGCTATCGATATAAATATTTCACCAGCCGTAATCATCAGTATTTTTATGAAAACTGTTTTATTCATTATTTATTGTCAATTAATGTAACGACTACTTAGAAGTAATTATCATTACCAACTAATAACTGAGTCGTTTCGAAGCTGTTGACTCATTCGACAAGGAATATGTTTCATTTCTGATATTTCAGACAATTCTACAGTGCGCATCATAAGTGTTACCCCCCCCCCCTATCTAACTCCTTACCGGACTCTTGTTAGGAAAAAAGCCAAGAGACACGTTAATTTTTGATTTCTACAGTGTACATTTTTCTATGAATAGTTCACCCCTAATTTCATCCCTTACAGAAGGGAGCAACTGTGTTGAAAAATCTAAATAGAATGGGTTGGTGAGTGATAGCTCATTTGGAAAGGAGTTTCATACTCTATTCAACCGTGCAAAGAATTACACCACAAACAGGAAGGCAACTAAACTAACACTAACTTTTTCCGTTATCACAGTAAATATTCAAAATGTTCCCGTTGACCTCCTAGAAAAAATATAGTCTATTTTTAGCTTTAGTCCTGTCGCTTTGCAACTCACACACTTCCGTAATCCGCGCACGCAACTGCTGAATAGAGTGACACTGAGTCTCGTAGACTTTAGATTTTAGGTAACCCCATAGAAATAAATCTAAAGAAGTTAGATCTGGTGATATTGGAGGCCATTTCACAGATTCTTGGCACCCGATATTCATCGTCCAGCATAAACAGTATTCGAATAATTGCTCACAGCAACTGCAAAATGAGGAGGAGCTCCATCTTGAATAATGTCCATATCAAATTCTTCTGAATCATTTTCGACACTTGCCACTATCAGTGGATCTATCACTGTTTTCAACATTTCAAAGTAGAGGGCACCAGTCAGATTTTTCTCAATGAATAACGTGGACACCCAGTATTCCTGCCCACACATTAACTTTTTGGGGAAAATGGGTATGAGTTTCGCGAAAAAATTGAGGATTTTCATCGGACCAGTATCTTACATTTTGTCTAAACACCTGACCGTTTGAAAAAAAAGTATCCTCATCACTGAAACAAATGTGTTTCAAATAGCTGAGATTTTGCAAAATATTGTTGGAGTCAGTTCACGTACCATTTTTATTCTGTAGGGATGACATTTATTTTTTTCAGAACACTCAATACCATCATCTGCGGAACCTCAAGGCAACAGTTCTACTCGATGAGGACGGATTATTCACAAATTTGCTCGTAATGTCCACTTGTTTATCTTCCCCTGTAGTTGATCGCACAAAACGTGTTTTATTTTGCATACTGCCGTTCTTATAAAAATTTTCACTAACTGTTTGAAATGATGACAAATACGTCTTATTTTACGTCAGAACGATATCATACAATCATAACTCTTCAATTAATGTAGCAAACTTCTGTTAATCAGCTGTCGCCCCCATACGAACGACAACTCTCAGAAGTTGAGAAACTTGTGCGAGCTAAGGACTAACGAGGTCTTACCTTTTAACGTGTGATTCCTAACACGGTTGCAGAATCATCCCAGCTTAAGCCAGATAAATTCTCTCGAGAAAAATATCTGGTCGGAGCAGGAATCGAACCCACGGTCTTCCGATCGTGAGTCGGGAGCACTACCACTGCGGCCAATTCCACAAATTGAAAATAACATCCTCTATCAAATGAGCTATCACTCGCCATCACATGCTATTTAAATTTTTCAACTGTTTATACTCAAATGCACATTGTAGAAATCAAAAATCGACGTGTCTCGGCGATTTTCCTAACAATAGTCCAAGGTTTCAATTTTCAACGTTCGACTCCAAGAGAATGACCGGTACAAGTACCACGAAATGTATCATTGTAACATGAATGTATCATGAAAACCAAAGCCTAAACCCAACGCATTTGTGATTCAACACCAACCAGACTACGCTGTTTCGACCCGCCGTAGGCCTCGTCAGTGATGCTAGGCTGAACGAAATATGTATTGCTGGACTCAAGTGCACTTAAAAGACAAGCCTGAGTAGGTAAGGGCCATGACATACTTCCTTGAGTAGACCCCATCTATGGGATCGATATCCGCGGATATCAAAGATAAAAGAGGCTCTGGTTTTCAATCTCAAAGAACCGTCATTTTACAAGCATTGATGACATCAAAAGCGCATCATTGAAAGAGCTGAAGACTATTAAAAAAAATCGAATTTGAGAAGTTTTCGGAAAAAGCACTGGCATAAGTGCATACTATCTACTGGGGGCTATTTTGAAGGGACAGCATTAATATAGACCAATAAATTTTATTTCCTCGTATATTTGTATGCCATACTATATCTCGACGCGCGTTCCAATAACCTCCAGGAGATGATATCTCCTGGTTAGCAAAACGCACATAGATGAACATAATTTTTGTTCTGAAAACATATTTTCAATAGAATCATTCTCGTTAGGTGAATACTCATTTTAGAACCTTCTAATTTCCTATTTTTTCAATCCCGATCTCCAGAAATATATACAGAGGAGGTGGGTCTCCCCGATCTCCAGAAATATATACAGAGGAGGTGGGTCTCCAAAAATTTACAGGACAGCCTGTCCAATATGGATAACTGGATGAGGCTACACATCTAATTTCTGAAGAAACAGGCTGAAATAGCAAGTGATCTCGAACTGGAATGACGGATCATTGTCAGATTTGAGTTTTTTCGGAACCTCGAATTGAAAGAATCTCTTCAATAAAACTTTAATGATTGATGGTGACAATTGGAAATACAATCTCCATACATGAAAGGTGGTACAAGT